TAAAAATTAGGTTGGAATTGTTTTTATCTTCTGTAATCTTTTAATTTTCTTATGCTTGCGAAACAGAGGTCTTTAAAGTGTTATAAAATCTATACCAAGCTTGAATACACTTTCTGTCTTCTCCCCGATAAATGGAAAATTAAGTGAAACAAAAGTAAGGGCTACGGAGGCTCTGCTACCAAACTTCAAAATGAGGGCTTCTGTTGGCTATCTCCACAAGAAGACCTCCTTATTTTTTGCCTAGTTGCTTAAAAATAAGGCTGTGCTATTTTCAACCTAATATTTTTGGCAGAGCTTCTGAAGACATCAGAATTAGCTCACAAATAGTCGAACTTCATCCTTAACATTATAGGAAAATGGAAACAAACACATGTGTTCTGTGAAAGGGATTTATTTGCTCAATTAGAAAAGTCCAATATGAAAGTCAAAGTTATTGCAAAATCAGAATTACTCTAAGGAACTTGATGCCTCTTGAATAGGTGGTTCAACCATTTGAAGGGAAGTTACTGGAAAATCCCTGTTCATGAATAATGAGTTAGATAAAATCAAAAGACACATCAGCATGCACTGAATGGCTAAGCCTACTTTACACTTGACACATACTTCTTTCTGCCCTGGAAATTAGGCCCTATTTTGTGTCCAACAGATTGTTTGGGCTTCATCTAGCTTTCTTATTGGTGGATTTATGTAGAGGGATATTTCTTCTTTCTTCTGACCCAGGTAAGATTAAAAAAATGTAAGGGATGTGGAGTGGAAAATATGGAAGTCAATGTCACAGTCCAGCTGTTGTCCATCTTTTCCTCCTGCTGGCCTCTTTCTCCTGGTCCTCTTCAAAAGAGGTGTTTTCCATGGTATACATTATTAAAGGTTATCAGGATATACATAATTTATCTTTGGCGCTTTCTTCCATGTCTTTATGTTTAAGCCACATGGTTACATGCAGCTTATAACTAGTGTCAGTCATTGTCATTCCCTTTCCTGCCTATGATTAAAATTAACCAGGACTATACTATGTGAAAATGCTTATGAGTAAAAAGACTTCAATTCTCCATATTGTTTCTATGTCCTGCCTTTTCCGAAGGGAGATTTGTCTTCTGCCTTCGAAATTGATCCAGCCACAAGAAATCAATATGAGGAAAAAAATTCTAAATCTTACAAATTATTTTACAGTAAACATTTATCCTCCAAGGGATTCTGATTTCAGATCCTCTCCTCAAATTCCCTCCCCCTTAGAAACATTTCTGTACCTTTGTAAATAACCAAATAAATGCTACCCAGTGGGCAATTAACAAGGAGAATATGTGCTTGTTGATTGAGACTTAGAGCTACTGGCTGCACTCCCTCTGTCTTCTGCTTGGTTTGTAAGTCTAGCCACCCTTGATAGCTTCCTTCAAAACCACCCACTCTATGGAATACCGATGTGCTGTTTCTAGGCAGTTGTCAGACACAAACCTGTCAGACACAAGCACTTCTACTGCTTCTAGTGGTATTATGCTGAAGAACAGTGGCAGTGATGGAGTGAATGAGAGAAGTGGTGTGGGTGGATGAGGCGAGGCACAGTGCGGTAAGGGAGGAGGAGTTTTAGCTCAGAGCCATGGCAGACACTCACAGGTATTATCAAGGAGCTAGTCCACCTGTGCATGCTCCTTTTGATATTAGAAACAAGAAATAGTCAGAGATCAAGCCAGATGGATCCAATATTATCAAGGTATTCCAAGAGAGTGATCTGTTTGTTATATGTCATAGGGGCCTTCTGTTCAGAACTCTTATACCTACAATGAATTTAACACTGAGATGACTAAGAAGTGCCTTCTGGCATGCTTTGTTAGGTTTTACATTTCTAGACTACTCTGTAAATCATAAAGGTCACATAATCCAATTAACAGAACTAAAGGAAGAAGTTGTCAAGAAAGAAGAGATGTTAGCCGGGCATGGTGGCACATGCCTGTAATCCCCATGGCTCAGGAGACAGAGATAGGAGGATCGCAAGCTCAAAGCCAGCCTCAGCAACTTAGAGAGACC